AACAACACAACCCCCCCCCCCCCCCCCCCCCCCCCCCAACACAATTTGGTTGCAATACGATACCGATATTGCTAATAAACAACAACTACACACGCAATTTTATAAGACTCGCGAACACAAAAAATGAAAGAACAAGTGCGCATGCGTGAGCACCCATTTCAGTGTTTAAAAAAAAAAAAAAACCCACAACCCGGACAAAAGTAAGACACAAAGTATGAAAAACAAAACCACAAACATTGCGTCGAAAGCAAAAACCGGTCGACACAAACAACGGCACGCAGCTCACTTTCAAGTAAAAAAAACGCGGCTAGCGGGGGGGACTTTAGCTTTAGCCTGCTAAGCTCCAGGCTAGGCCGCAGCCTTCGGCCTTCGGTCGTGGGCTCGCCTGGCCTCGCCTGACCTGCTCGGAGACGGCCCGGAAGAGGCTAGACGCGTCCCTGGCGACCATCTTGCGGTAGAGGCCGAGGCTGGCCAGGTAGTCGTCCATGTTGACGAAATACTTCTTGAGGCCTTTTTGCATGGCGCCGTCGCCGTCGCCCAAGCGCGCCAAGGCCCGCCCGCCTCAACTTGATTTGCGCTAACGAGCCGCGACTCCAACACGTGCGGCGGGCAGCTGCCGCTCGACGACGCGACGACGACGAAAGAAAGAAAACAAACTAACTAAAACGACTTGACGATCAAACCAAAAAGACATCAAATCTCTTTGGCTTTTTATTTTTTTACTCATCGAGAAGCCTGCTTCCGCCAGTATTTTTTTTTTACTCCCCGAGTCGCCAAGTAAAAATCATTAAAACGAAATACATTTTTTTTGATGGAATTCAAGAAGGGACATTTCCAATATCACATGTGAATCGTTTTTCCAAATCAATGTTAATCATATTGAAATTAAATCCGGAAGTTGCATATATGCTTGGATCGTATATTTTATATTGCGTTCTGTCCTGTATACAGTTCATTTCTTCGATGTATTTTCTGCATGCAAATAATACTTGATGTTTTCTACTTTCTTCCCTCCAAATGTTGCTGCTGTAAATTGCAAATTTCTCCATTGCGAGACAAATAAAGGTTTTCGTATCTTAATCTGTCAACGCGGTTCTCACAATGTCATCCTTTTTACGTTGTCATTTGCGTTATGATGCAGTTCCTTGTACATTTGATGAGTGCGGGTTAGCTCTTGTGGACCCAAAACCCCCTTTTTTTTTTTTTCATCCTGCTCTCGGATACTCAAAATTCGACAAAAACTACTTCGAAAAACAAAATACTACAACCGTATTCTGGTACCGCTCAGTGAATCGCGTGTAATGCTCGCTTCCTGAATTTTTTTTTTTTTAAATGGAACTTTTTCTACACCTCAAGTCAAATCAATGCTTTGACAACGGTTCGCACACTTCCGTCCATTTCGCTACTTAAATCAATCACGTTTTTCCTTATCCATCTTGTACATTTTGACACAAAAGAATACTGTAATATCTGTTTCTTGTGATTTGCGTATTGGAGGGCTGGGATAGTTGAGTCGCGGGTGACGTCATAGAGGGGCGACGAGCCCGAAGCGGATAACCTTTTCTAAAGTTGTATGTTTTTTGTTCTTTTGTTTCGAATTGAAAATGTCAATTTTTTTTAAAAAAAAAAAGCCGCCGAAAAAACGACGCGGCATAAGCGGAAGTGACGAAAGGGGGCCGCGGAAGGTGTTCGCTGTTGCCGAACCCGGAAGCGTCAGCGGCGCGTTACACGAACGGCGGCTCGCTTGTTTCGTTGATTTGCTTTTGGAGCTTCGATTCGATGACATGCAGCGCGCTTGGCTCCACTTAGGTCCGCTGCAGTGGACGACGTACGTCGACAAAGAGCTCCAAGTGACGGTGGGGAAGGAGGCCAAAGTGTTGGCCGGGTGGCTGCTCACCGTCGACCCCGTGTCCGCCAGGTACGCCAACACACACGCACACACACGCCGCGAACTCTCCCAAAAAAAGGCCCGACAAATTTTTAATGATCTTTGGGTCCCGCTGAATATTTGCGACGCACTTTTTTTTTTTTTTTTTGCTCAAATGACCGGCAATCGTGACTTTTGGCGGTTTCCATTTCCAAATCACTTCTCCAAACCCAATGGTCCGGTCCCCTGAAAAAAAAAAAAAATAACAAGTGAAGAATTCCAAAGATTGTCTGTCAGCGTCGAACGCTGCGATCCAGTTCGACGTGCGGTACCTGCCTTGACCAGCAGGAGGCAGCACAGGATATCGCGGGCCCGACCGGAAGAAGGCTCTGCGACCTTAGGGGGCGGGGCGGCGCTTCGCCAGTCAATTGCTTAGGGACTTGTCCATGCTAACCAGGCGTTCTGTGGCGTTGTGCTAGCTACGCCAGGAGAAAACGTCTCCCGTTTTTTTACGTGGAGCTTTCGGATAAACCTGTGACTTTTGCGCTCCCCCCGCAGCCTGGTCCTGGTCAGCTTCGGCGAGGCGGACGGGCCCGCCGGCGTCCAGGTGGTGATGGGTCACGCGGTGCGGCGGGTGGAGGTGCGACGGGAGGCCGACGCCGCGGCGGCCCGACG